GATGAATTAAATAAGTCGTGTGTGCCCGCACCACCAAAAATAAAACAATGTATTTTTTTGTGACACACATTACCAATTTTATTTTCAATTATTGTTTAAGAATTAAATTAATAAATCGATCTTGGAATTGAAACTCTGGATAGTTTAAAATGAGGCTATATTACAAATTAGTATATCTCAACTAGTACACCTCCTTAACTCGTATAATTAGAACAACTTTCAAAATGCTGTCTTTGATTTTTGATGCAACCATTCTGACCCTAAGACATTTCATTTTCATAACAAAAGAGTCGCAATTACTTTTTTCAGTACAAGTTCAAATACTTTTGACCTGCGTATTTATCATGAAATTGCTCTCTTTCTTACTTTTAATTTTGAATATAGAATTTTAATATTAAATTCTGTTTTGGAAAAGTAGAAATGTAAAAACATTGAACCTGCTCCAGTTTTTCAAATACAAAACCAATTATAATGCAGCTTTTATAGATAAAGGGTGTATGTCAATATATTTAAAAGTGAACACGTGGGAATTTGTGTTATTAAATGTCTGTCAGATATGTATTGGATAGGATAAATTTATTAATTTCCTCTTCGCTATATGCTGTATTTCATGCCAATAAAGCACCCTGTGAGGGTACAAATTGTCGTTTTGTACATATTGTCGTCGGCGAAAATATGTACCACCCTCACTGCACATATTGCCCCATCGGTACATATTGTCGCCTTATTTTCCTCCTGCATAATGGATGACAAAAGAACAAGGGTCACTTTGGGCCTTTTTTGGCCCTGTGAATTTCTGAAAAACTGAAACTGCTTAGTTTTATTTGACAATGCATTAAATTTCATTGAGACATTTGGCGATTGCAAATCTAACAAAAATGACGTAATTTTCTGGCTAGTCAATGCATTATGACGTCATGAAATGCGTCATTTTCCTCATATCCTGAACAATTCTACAAAAACAGCCAATTTTTAAAGCTATTTTTCGATATTTAATATAGAGCGCAATCTCTGATCTAAAATATGCAATTATTTACTGATGGAACCGTTTCTGAGGATTACAAAACACGTTTTATTTTTTAGATCAGAGGGTGCGCTCATATCATTTTTCTTCTCTGAAAGTACTTAAATATACCTGTTTTCCTTAAAATTCAAGAACATTGCAATTCCATAAAGCTTGTTTTCCAAGACCTGGACTTTAAGGAGAAAAATTTTAATAGGAAATGAAAGCACTAAATCTCTACTTTATCTTGATGTTTAAAATGGAACATAAGGTGTTAGTCAATAAATTGGTATATCTACAGGGCAATTTTATGCATAAAGTGAACTTAGCTCTTTACAGTCAAGCACCAACACATATTATCGTTGGCGACAATATGTACAGTCAAGGTCGGCATATATTGTCGTCGATATATTGTTTTGACTAATATTCATTTTAGAAAGGAAAGAGAGATTGACAAACACACACACACAGGAAGACAGACGGCATTTCTCGCAATATTGTAGGGAAAAATCGCTTTGGTCAGAAAATTGTGTCCAGGATTGATGTACATTACTATAATATGTCAAGATATCGTAATTCCTGAGATATGTGATAAATCAGCCTATTCTTTTTTTTTTTATAATATATACTTGAAGACTGAATGCATGTAATAGTTTTTTTGTTCAGCAGTAATGATTATTTGAAAATTATTTTTTGCGTTATTTTCATATACAATCATGTGCAATAATTGGTGTTGGGGTTGACAATTTAGATCACCTGAACTGGAAGTTCAAGTGAGCCTTTCAGATTACATTTTGTCTGACCGTCTCTCTGTCTGTAAACGTTTCACAATTTCAGCTTATTCTCAAGACATTTTTGGTCAATTTCCAAAAATAATTCCACAAAACATCCATTGATAAAGGGAATTCAAGTTTGTTCAAATGAATACGATTATGATTAACTTTTCACTGTCGATTCTAAATACAACTGTAAATGCATTGAAATTTATAATTAGCCATATCACTGGGAGAAATCTCGCAAAACTAAGAGGGGAAATGTATGTTACATTTTTTTTTTAATTCTGCAGTATGGCAATCGTGTCTTGGTAGTCATTTGGACATTGAGAGATTAGGATTTAAGCAGGGTTAATTTCAGTTATCAAACATCTTGATGCAAATAAAATCTAATTTGCAATTTGTTTAAAAAGACATTATCATATTGGTATTTTTGAATACAAGCAATGAGGCGGCTGCAGCCTTTGCGTGTTAGGAGCTTTTCAGTGTGAAGCAGTCTTGATTACTTTTCTATTGGTCGCCCGCGTGGCGCAGTGGTTAGAGCGTCTGCTCTAGAGTCGCGAAGTAAGGAGTTGATCCTTACGTCGCGGGATCGAATTCCACTGTTGTACGTGGAGACCGGTCCTTCGGATGAGACCGTATAAACCGAGGTCCCGTGTCGCAGTAGGTGGTGGCACGTAAAAGATCCCTCACTGCTCAATGGCCGTAAGTGCCAAGTATAGGACAAAATTTGCAGCTCTCCACGGGTAAGTGGTGGCGTCTCCATATGAATGAAAAATTCTCGAGAGGGACGTTAAACAACATACAAACAAACAAACAAACTTTTCTATTGCATTAAGCATAAAATTTCAAATTTATAGAATACCAAAGAAGGTTAAAAATATACCAGAGCAGATTAAAAATATATTAATTTCTTTTGAAGAAATAATTGAATCATGTTGAATGAGGGGCGTTTCGCATCCCTGTGTTGGTATCTATTGAACACTGAATGATTGTGATTTTACTATATGTGTATATTGTATATAATACTGCTTTGGTAAAAAAAGATTAGAAAATTGGATGTAAATGTTGTTCTTAGCGCTAAAGAAATTTGAGACGTAATGACGATTATCTCCTTGCTAAAATGTTACAGGAGATGAAATGAACAGGGTTCAAGTCGGTAACAAAAATGTTACACTTGTGAAAAATTCATTAAATAGTATGGCAATTAGACAAATCTGAAATTAAGTTTGCAATAGTTTATGAAACAGCGAACCTTTTGCATATAACATTTTGCAGTTATAAAGAATGGGTTTTATTTCACATTGAGATTCATTATATCAGATAGATTTGGTGCACAGTAATGTGCAGAGATATTCCAGTCCAGTGCTTAGTATGATGCAAAAAGACCTGTTGCATAGCATTGCGCAACCATTGGATTTAACAATATATTCATGGTGCATAGTATGGTGAAGCCAGAGCATGTCGCAGCCTGTGGAAGTCCTGGTGCATAGCATGTTGCAGCCAGTGGAAGTCCTAGTGTATAGCATGTTGCAGCCAGTTGAGTTATTAAGATGTTCCTGGTGCATTAGTGACGCAGCCAGTATATATGTATGACCTAAGTCGATAAAAAATGGGTAGCAACTGTTCCTTCGCCATGCGCTCTGCACTTTGAAGTGAAAGTTGCGAGTCCTTCGGATGAGACCTTAAAAACCGAAGCCCCGTGTCAGGGCAGGCGTTGGCACGATAAAGATCCCTCACTGCTCAATGGCCCTGAGTGCCGAGTAGAGGTCAAAATTTGAAGCCCTTCACCGGTATATGGTGACGTCTCTATATGAGTGAAAAAATACTCAAATGGGACGTAAAACAACATACAATCAATCAATCGGAAGGTCGGTACGTAGGCACACCTCCATCATCGAGATCGTTGTCTAACAATGTAAGCTGTCGCCAGTGTCTCTGTGTTAAATCATAATAAATATGCCTTACTGAAACCGTAAATTTTATGTTCCGGATCAAATTTTATGCTTGACTTCAAGTTAACTGTTCCGGACAGGTGTTTCCATCCATCCCTTTCCGACCGAAATTCCTCCAATTTTTATTATCAAACATCAGACCTTGTTTCTTGTGCTTTTTAACATCGAATATGGGTTCGCATGAATAAAAAATTCCCAGACACCAATATCCTCACTATAATTGATCACAAGTAGCCTTTCACAGAATATTCCCTTAAAAACAAAATCCTTTGCCAGATGAATTTGAAGCGTAACCGCTTTTCAAGCCTTGCGTAATTTGTCAAAATCTACGACGAACAGTTAGTGCAATATTTATATTTGATTATTCGATTGTCCGTCTCAAATGTACATATAAGTAATAAATAACAAGTTTAAAAACTTCACTGGGAAATGAAGTGGGTCGGTGCGTGATTAAATCTTCTGAGAAGGCCTTCGGCCTTCACAGGATTTGATCAGGTGTCCGACCCACTTCATTTTCCAAAGAAGTTTTTAAACTTGTTATTTATTTCTTAATTAAAGTTTAAAAAGGATAATAAAAGATAATGAATGATAGTGAGAAGGAAGTACATGTAGATACTTAGAAAGTACCATTCTAGGCTTCATCTAGCTTATTCTGATGGTTGTTCGTCTATTCTGTCAGCTACATGTACTTATGAACAATGGTACATTAAAATCACTTTTACAATGTTGAATTCAAATTATTACACAAAAAATTATGCCAAAAATTACAAATATTTCAAAGCAATATTTTAAGTGTATTTTACACTTTTCAATTCAACAAAAGACTTATGAAAGTCTATCTGTAACTTTACGATTTCAAAAAAGGGGACATGATGTAAATTATGTAAATTACAGTATTTTTGATAAAACAAATACCCGCGCTATAAAGAGCAGAGAAAATAAATCATACAAGTCGTGACCAATGACTGATGTTAGTGTTCTCAAAACAAACACAACTTTTTATCATTATCGATATTTAAAACTATTTCATTCCAAAGGAAAGCAGCCTTATATGCGTACATGTACTTACCAATTAAACCATTTAATCCAGACAAGGATTTTAAAGTTGAAAAAAAAAAAAAACTTTATCATAGATAAGAAAAATCAACCCCAGATATCATTGATTTCAAAATTCAGATAAAAAAAGATTCTTTAAGTTCAGCCCTGTAATTAAATAACAAGTATAATGTAAAAAATGGAGAAAAATGTTTTAATTCTTATCACTGAGTTATTTGATAACAATCAATTTTTCAAATATTTAAAGAAATGATGGTATATTTTAAATTTCTTAAGAATTCCAAGCGTCTTTTTAAAAAAAAGCTATTTCAATGAGTTCTTTTAAAAAGTATTTTGACATAACTTCGTTCCTGAGTTGCACTTCCAGAGAACTCCCTACAAATTACTTATCTAGCTTCCACACATATTTTATATCCTTTTGGAGAGTAACTTGCACCCTGCTCCCCTTCGAAATCGTATTTCTCATGTTCAGGTTTGTATAACTTACAATTTTGAAGCAAAGTGGTCACCAGGTAAAACACCTCAGCTTGTGCTATCAATTTGCCAATACAGACGCGTCGTCCTGCGCTAAATGCAAGTACATTGTCAACTTTTTCTTTTATCAGACTCCCATTATCATCCAGAAATCGTTCAGGTTGGAACTCATCAGGATTACCCCAGAACTCATCATACATAACCGAGAAAATGTTAAAGTAAACAACTGTCCCTTTTGCTATCTTGGTATTTTTTACGATTACGTCGGTAGTCGTTATATGTGGTAATCCCAGTGGAACAACTGGCGCTATTCTCATGATCTCCAAAATGACTGCCTCAGTATATGATAGAACGCGACGATCCTTCAGAGATATGATTTTGTTTCGTCCAATTTTTTCGTCTATTTCTTTCTGTATTTTTATCTGAATATCTTGATATTCAGCAAGGTACAGGAATACCCATCTTAAAGTAGAAGCAGTTGTCTCAAATCCAGCAGCAAAAAAATCCTGAAGTGTGTCTACCAGTTGACTCTTAGTCAATCCCACTTCGTTTGGAGTTTCTGTTATGTTGTACTTCAAGCAAGCGTTTAAGAAACCATCCATGGCATGGCGAGAATGACCCGGATGAAACGTTTTTATCATCTCAGCTCCATTTTCGTTTCGAGCTTTCCTAAAATTGTCAATAAAATCCAAAAATCTTTTGAAACGTCCTGGAAAGATATATCTTAACCATGGAAGATTATCAAAATAACTTCCAGCAGAAAAAAATTCTACGATTGATCCTTGGTCTTTCATTATTTTTAAAAAGGCCGGATCATCTCGTATATTTTCACCTTTACCGTAACAAAACTGGTAGGTGATACTACCCGTAGCCGTGTATATTAAGTCGCTAGGGTTGAATGGTTTGCCTTTATAGTGCATAAAACTAGACACTAGTAAGTTGGCCTCGTCTTGTATTATTTCTTCCAAACCAGAGTTATTTGTACTTCCTATTTCTCTTATAACGCTACTTGAAATTTTACGATGCAATAAGTATCTTTCATCAAAATTGCTAAATGTGAGACCTTTCATATCGTTCAGGCTTTTGATTGAAAAAAACGGCGGTCGTGCGGCAAAACTATCCGAGTCATGAGTAAGCGTCGATTTTACTGTGTCCAAACCATTAATTATAACGGTTGGCCATGACCCAAATCGTAAAAGGAAAACATCTCCATACTTTTCCTGATACTCTTTGAACTTATTCAAAGGTCTTGAACCAAGAAAAGGCATGTGTCCGAACAACGGAATTCCCCAGGGACCAGGTGGACTGCGCCTCCACTCAAGAATTATTTTTATGGAAAAGAAAACGGTAAGTAGTATTGTTATCGATAAAAGAAAGTCCGAGGACTTTAGATCAAAATGATGATTAGTAATTGAAGATACTGTCGCCATTGTTCCTGCAAAAAAATAAAATTTAGTCAATCTTTTGAAGCATAGAAAAATCGTAAAAAGTTATTTTCTTTGGACATTATTGCATAACAATACCATGCGCCAATTTCATATCCTTTTTTTTAGAAATTGAAATAAAGCAATGATATCATTAAAATTGAAGTTTATCTCTAAAAACGAATTCCCGAGCAATTAAAGTGAATTTTTGAAATACAATCTTGCATTGATGTTGCATTGTTCAGTTTGGATGCATATGTTAGGTTTCAGTGACTCTGCACTATGTTTACCCCTATCTTATCACATTTATAGGATTCCAACCAGACTTGCATTGGTAGTTCAATATGGATTTGATGTGATTTTACTATGCCTACATTTTCTGACCTTTTTTTTTTTTTTTTTTTTTTGTAAATTATATTATTGAGATATTAATTATTCATTCAAACATGGAATAAGATTAAAACTACAAATGTTGTTAAGCATAAAAAGCTATGCCTTTCTATATTTGGAAACATATAATTTACACTTATGTAAACTCTCAAAGGTTATGGGTTGCATGTATAACCTGGTATTTTTTTTCACATAGTGTGTAATGTAGCCTATAACTTATTGAATTACCCGTGGGTACATTTCTTCACAGATAAGAATAATTTATTCAAAGAAGTCGTATATCTGTTGTAAAACAAAATTATTTTACACAAGTGGTGTTAATTATTATGTATTTCATATTTATATTTAGCATATTTATTTTATATTATTAAACCCTAATTGTTAAGAAATATATAAATCAGAATTTTTTTTGCGATATTTTGATATTTCTTCATACGTATCGATATGAATATCATCCTCACACAGAATTGATATGACGATATCTCGATATATCGTCCCAGCCCTAAAGCATACCCTGTCGACCGATCACACCTGTCGTGAGCTCTTTGTCATGATCATTTAAACGGAAGAATCTGAAGACAATTCAGTGAACATTATGACCTACCAATGGGACGCATCTTAACTGTGAAGATGGCTTGTCTTTATACACATATTATTTTCACTACTTAATAGATAACTAATAAAAGACATGAGATTTCTAATTTCTATCCAAAATTTTTAAAATCAATCAAAATTATGAGAAACTGACACTGCAATTTTAATTCTTCTTTATAAAGTTTGAGAAAAATTCATTCTTTTACATTCATTAACTTATTATAATCGTGGCGGAGATCAAGTTGGAAGTGAAAATATATATTGTTTACATTTAGATACATCTGATAATGTTATAATACTTGAGTCAAATGACATCAAATATTATGTGTTCTACAAAAATAAGAAATTCAGATTGCTCTTATCAAAAAATATTTTAAGAAAGGATTTCTTAATTCTTTTAATTCATATTTGACATTTTAGACCAGTTGATAAATGAAAAAAAACCGTATTTTCCTGTGATTTCAAAGGCCGAACGAACTAAAAGCAGACATTACTTGTGGATTGCCTGATGCAAAAGTAATATTTAAAAAATGCTGGTATTAATAGTAAGACTTAAAATATATAATAAAAAAGATGTAAAAAGAATGGTTACCTGTTTGTGGTGGGTTTATATTTTCTGCAAAGAATTCCGAACCTTTGCACAAGTACCGAATTATATAAACTGTTTTGATATGTCTGGTTGATTTCGTTCTAGATTTTCACCTAGGCTAATTAAACGAGTTTCCCAGAGCGTACAAAGCTTCACCATTAATATCTATATTCAGCGAATTTAGGGGATAAACAATTTTAGTGGAGAATTCAGTAAAATACGTATGAACATTATATAAATATACAAACAAGTTTGATTGTATAATATGGAAAAAATGAAAAAAAAAAAAAAAAAAAACATGCTAACTTTTGTACATATATATATTATTAAATTGTTTCTAGATACAGTGCATTTTCTCGTGGACGCTCGATCTTGGATATCATTTTCTAATAATGATAATTCATAATTACAAATTCCTTTCTATGAATTCGACACCAAAACTGGTCAATCATAAAAACAAACTTCCATTAACTTCTTTCCAGGTTATTAAAATACGAAACGTCCAGAAGCAAGATAAAATTAAATAGGTGCATTAAAACAATTCATATTACGAGTATCAATTTTTAAAGAAAGATCTACATATTGTAATTCAAATATTTTTTCAACAGTGTTTAATTTTTTTTGATTGCATTACTACATTAAAATTACAATATATATTGATTGAAATTCGAAGTTGGATTTTAATCTAAATAATTGTTACATTTTAGATCGTCTACGTGTCAAATACTGTTTCATATATAAATATTTCATATTTCATGATATATGTTTGTAAGTACTCAATCTTAAGCAAATACTGGCGATTAATATCCTTTAAAGATGTGCATAATGTGTTTATTTAGTAACTATAGTTAATTTTCAACAATTCATAGATACATGTACTTGCCATTTAGACAAATGATCAAATACAACGAGGTAATAGCGAACAGAAATATCTTGTATTTACTTACATTTGAAAATTAATACAAATATTGTATTTAATTACTTTATCATGTTTATCGTAGTAATATAAAGAGTACTTTATTTTGTACAAATTATGTCTTTCGCTTTTTTTTTTTTTTTTTTTTTTTTTTTTTTAAAGAGCTAAACTGCGTGAAATTTACGTGTAAATGGAGTCCTTAACTCAGTTAATATCGATGAAATGATATATGCTTAATATGTAATTTAAAATGTACAATTTTTAAATTGACACCCTGCTGTAGTATAGGATTTATTTTTTAAAAATATCCTGACATTTAAAAATACAAAATGTAGTTCTTTCTTTGAAGATCATTCATAGAGCAAGTATGAGAAACAACATTCTTTCAATCTATTTTACTTTACACGTAACTGATTAAATCTTATACTTTTAGTTCAGAGTTGACAAAAAAAAAAAAAACCAGGAAATACTAATATTTCCTAGGACGGTGGGCAATACTGGTCAAAATGATCAAATGTCAGTCCCCTCATGTTCGTCAGTTTTTTGAAGGAGTTAACTTCTGGTCTTCCTGCAAAACTATCAGACTGATATTGTAAGACTTTTCTTACAGTATCAAAGCCGCTAATGAATTCTGTAGGCCAAACACCTAGACGTATTTTATAACCATTACCGGATTTCCTAGGAATGGTAAGTGACCTATCACTAGGAAACCCCATGGTCCCGGAATGGAACTTGAGTTGTCAAGGAGGATCTTAATTATGACCAAAGCAATCAAAGAAATTGTAAGACACTTCAGGATGTCCAGGTTTTGAATCACTGAGAACAGTTCCATATTGTACCTTAAGAAAAAATAGCCGGAGATATTTATTTGAACAATGATGGGAAACGTGAAAAAAAACCTCCCCTTTTTTTTATCAATTTGCATAAATTCACACTATATTGATCCTGTTAAAATTTTGAGAATTCTTACTTACCTACGTTTTACTCTGGCATAAAATACATAAAGAAAGTGGGTTCTATATTACATCATGTTTAAAATTGCTGTATTTAGAACATAAAATCTATCATGCGTTCAGCCGACATATAAAACATCATACACATACAAGGGGTAGTGTTAATCTTGAAACATGCACTCATTTTCCTAAAGTAGCACATTCTTTGTGTGTGTGCAATTATTACATAGATCTGCTGTGTTTAAAATTTTGTATCTCATAAGTCAAATATTTGGCGCCAATCTATTCAGAGGAAAATGGAATTTGATATTGAAGCCTACCATCATCATCAAGCCTAAATAACGTCCTGTCAATACTCATATGAATTATACAATGTAATTATTTTCTCAAATGGAAGGCATTTGAATTATGTCACAGAAGACAGATTTTTTATTTTAAAAATAAAAACCAGAATATAAACCAGAAATATAATGCTAAAACAAAGTATAAAAATCGTAGATAATTTCAGCGAACATGGAAACAATAATTCAGACTTTTAAAAGTATGGTAATGATATCTAGTTCAGTTCTATGTAAAGCAAAAAGAATTTCCATAAAATTCCCCAGGCCTAAGGACCTAAAAAGATAATTTTTAAGAGCCCTGCGAGAAACATTATACATGTTTGTGAAATATTTATGTTGGCACACGAATAGAGACCTGGTTAAACGAAGAATATATAATAGACATCCAATATCTGTAAATGGAAATATGGGTAAGAAATAAATTGTGTGAAATGGCAGGTAATGCTCCCCTCGACAAGACAACAACCAGGTGATTAAGCGAGTTCTCAATAATTGGATTATAATAAATAATAATTCAAACTCTAAATTATGATGCAGTTACAATGAAACATTTCCTCCCAATTAAAACTGTTATTGTTTGCAGATGTAATGTATTTTTTGTGTTTATTCCATTATTTTCCAAAATGTGAATTATTTCTCTTTCACTTCTTAATCATATGATATAAATAATTTTAACTGTACATAATGAATGAAAGGGGATCTGTTTTAATAAACAAGCAGAAAAGTTGAAAGCATAATTGCCTTGTCATTAATGATGCATATAAAAATATATATGAAAGTTTCAGAAAGCATTCCAAACATAAAATTATTTAGGCGATATGAAAAAGAATTATACCTCTTTCAGGTTTTTTGCTGTATCCATTAGCTCACTGATAAACCGAGAGGCTATCATTGAAAATTGGAGCGTATATTTTTGTGTGCACTTAATAACCTAGCATTGCCTATTTTGATTCTTCTGGTGGTAAGCTATCACCGTTACTGATCTGAAGGGTTTTTTGAATAGCCACCGTGTTGATCAGACGTTTTGCCTGAGGTCAGGTCCTAAAACTAGAGGGCAAACATTTTAATGTTTTTTTCTTTTACTTTAAATTCATGAAATCAGTGGTGGATTCTAGATTTCATCCCCCCCCCCCCCCGAAAAAAAAATTATAAGATCTTGGTGTAATATATTTACATTTTCCGTTATTCTGTGTTTAAGTTCATTAAATTGATTCCAGGAGAAACTTTAAATTTTCAGCCCAAGCAAGCTAAGAAGGAACAAACATTAACATTCTTATAGCTATAATACACATGTAATTAACGTGTGCACGATTTTTTTTTACATATTTCTTTATGACTGGTCTACATTATACTCTATTTTTAACAGATACAGTAGGGGACCCAATGTGTGTTTTACATTGTACACTGCAAGAAATACAGCCAACATACTAATTTTTTCCAGACATTTATTAAAAAATCACATACACATTATTTTGTAAATCAGCAAAGTTATTGATATATAATTAAAAAAATAAATAATTAGAATATTCTTCAATAAAAGAAATGCTACCGGAACTACATATGCTTCTGTTTGAAAGAGATATTAATTTCCGTAATCATAGTCTTGTCCTGGTGCCTTGGTAACCTCACACAATTAAACCTTGGATAACAAATGATAAATATTTGCAGGTTCCTGTACAAATGAAAACAAAAATGATCAAAGTTGCTACATATCACTACACTGCCATTCCCATAATCTAAAATAATATTTTTATGAAAAAGCGTAGAAGATTGCTAGTAAAAACAGCCAAAGAATTTAAAGCAAAATATTTTTTTTGACATACAAAGAGGCATTATACCAGGTATGTCACAGGATCTACATAATTTTAACTTTCGCCCATCAGTCTTACGCACAGAAGATGAACTACACTAAAACCTAAATATTACCAAAAAGTTTACATCATAAGCATCATAAAATATCTATTATAATATACTGAGTTTCTCGATAACAATATCTATGTAAATCTTTGGAGACCAGGTCTTACAACAATCTGTAGGAATTCCCATGGGTACCATGAGCCCCATCACTAGCAGATCTGTTTTTGTATACGTGAGTATTTAAAAACTTCTACATAAAAATCGTCTCTTGCTGTGTCCTTCCATTCGTCATTTATGTATATTGACGACGTTTTCACAATAACAATATTCATTTTCAGACCTACGTCGATTCGATACATCCCATCGAACTCAAAATAAAAGACACCACAGAGCCTGACACGTCTGTTTCATATTTGGATGTTTTACTAAAAAAAGACATGATGGCAAAGTATCAACTATGATAAATGCAATGACTCCAACCTTTCTATCGTCATCTTCCCTTGACAAATATTGACGAATAAGCTGATGATACTAAGATATCAAGAATCTCGTTTAAAGTCAACATTTCACAATTTCTATGGTCGATACAATGACCTTGATTCCCACTATAATCCATCGTTACGTCGAATTGACTGACGTCTAATGTTAGGCCATTTTTTCATACTTTTCCGTTTAACCGATCATTACAAAAAGAACAAGGCGGGTGTGACTAGTCGACCGGGGATTCTCACTCCACCATATGGCACCTGATCCCACCTCTGCTTTCAAAGGTCCGTGTTTCCTCTGCTCACAATTTGTATTGTGGAATGGACTTTGAGTGTGATTACTATCATTATCTTCACATTTCATTAATATCCTTTGTCATTAAAGGCTTGGGTAGTTGGTGGAGATTGATTGATATATTGACTGTTTGTTGTTTTACTTCCCTTGCTAGATTTTTCCTGTCATACGAGACGCCACCATATACCGATGAAGGGCTTCAAATTTAATGAATACACTCGGCACTTAGGCCATTGAGCAGTGGGGGTTCTTCATCGTGCCAATGCCTACCGTGACACGGGACCTACGTTTTTGAGGTTATATCCGAAAGACCCTTGACTTTCACTTTAAATGCCAGGCGCTTGGCGAAGGAACAGTATCCGTCATTACCTATTTGAACGTCTTAGGTTTGATGCAGCGCCAGGAACGAGAATCCGGAATCTCCCCATCACGAACGCCCTACAACTAGGTTGCGGAGATTGATAAATTGTAGATAAGTACTTCGACAAGCTCAGGGCTTGGGTTCTTTTCCTTGGTGATTTTAAATTAAAGATGTTTTTTTGTTTTTGTTTTTGTTTTTTTGTTGTTTTTTTTGTTGTTGTTGTTTTTTTTTTTTTTTTTTTTTTTTTTTTTTTTTTTTTTTTTTTGTTTTGTTTTGTTTTTTTTTTTTTTTGGTTTTTTTTTATGAATAAGGTATTTATTGGTTCTTTGAATTTTCAATCCATTAATTTGAGATACATTCACTTGATTTAAATTATAAAAGTAAAGAAGTTCTTAACAGCCCACTACTTATAATAAGCAGAATGAATAAACTAGAAACTCTTTGAAAAACAATGAAGTTTTGCATATCAACACAAAAAACAGATACACCAGCGTTAATAGATACACACTAGTAAATAATCAAGTACCAGTGTCAGAATATAAGTATGTATAACCCATCATGTACTGGCTTACTACTAATTTATTTTTTTTTAAAGTCTAAATTTTGCGTATAGACTGACACCGGTATCCTAAACATAAAAGAAATAACTTTCTCCCCTAAATTAAAGAGAATTTGTACACCTTTTAATAAAATACATTAATAGAAATATCAGTAGCAAACCATTCATTAATGATGTAGCAATATCAGTATTCTTGTTCTGATTATTGAAAAGTATATTATAAATACACAAATGAAAATGTGAGATTCGGTATGTTTTTATAATGCAAATTTAGATCAACTTAAAATTCTCTTGAGACGACACGGATTTTATAGGGCTTTGGGGAGTATGTAAGACTGAATATTCCTTCAAAATCGTATTCTTCATTCTCTGGCTTTTTAATTTCACACTTCAGCAGGACTGTGGCAAAGAGCAGAAATAATTCATTGCGTGCTAGAACCTCACCAAGACATCGTCTTCTCCCAGCACTGAAAGCTAAAACGTTTTCTGTTTTGTCTTTAATAAGTTTTCCCTCTGAGTCAAGGAATCTATCAGGATTGAATTCGGAAGCATTGTCCCATTGCTCATCGTGGCCTACAGAATAATGATTGAAAAAGACGAGGGTTCCTTTCCTAATAATATGACCCTTAACACAGACGTCTTCAGTTGTATAGTGTGGAAGACCCATTGGTACCACTCCCGATAAACGCATCGTCTCGTAGATTGTAGCTTCTGTAAACGGCATATCCTCTCTGTGCTTCGTAGTTATAATACCGCTACCCCCAATATTGTCTTCGATTTCTTTCTGGACCTTTAATTGAATCTCTGGGTATTCTGCCATGTAAAGAAATAGCCAAAGAAGGGTTGTTGCTACCGTATCAAACCCTGCTCCAAAAAAGTCTCCAGTAATACCCAATACGTCCCGTTTTATCACTCCAGCCTCATTTGGTTCATCGCCTAATCCATACTTTATGGTATTTGATATCAATCCATCTACAGCGTGGCGCAAATGTTTTGTATCAAATGTTTTCGATATTTCGTTGATCTTCTTTTCACGAGCTTCTTTACCCTCTTTGGTTAATTTGTAAAAGTTTTGGAGTCTTTCGCGAAAAAAGAATCTTGTCCAAGGAAGAACGTCTGTGGGACTTCCCGCCTTTGTGATTTCTTTGAAAGCCTTGTGATTCTGAATAAATTGAACATAATCTTTATCTTCCCTTATATTTTCTCCTTTGCCATAACAAAACTGATATATAACGCTTCCAGTCGCTTCCATGATGGCTTTGTACGGGTTAAAAGGCTTTTCTTTTTCTCTAACAAACTCAGACACTAATCTATTGGCCTCTTCCTGGAGAATTTCTTCCATTTGGTTGTTTTGTTTCCCCGAGAATTCTCTAACAACAGAACTACCTATTTTCCGGAGTAGAAGATACCTTTGATTAAAATATCCAAATGTAAGCCCTCTCATCTTTGTCAAATGCTTAAAAGAATTGAATTCTGGTTTAGCAGCAAAACTGAATAATAACAATTCTTATCACCAATGAACGATTTATCATAATAAGATTAATCAAATATATATAAATATACAAAATACAAAATGCAAATAACTCCCAAGGTGATTCACTGAATGTTACAGTAACTCAGACCTATGACTTACTCTTAGACGTCCTTTTTAATTTATTAATTTTTTTTTTTTTTTTTTTTTTTTTTTTTTTTTATCAAACCTATATATTAAAATAATTCATGGTTATTCTCAATTCCCTGTAATTTGTTTTATTTAAAACAATTTGCCTTATACTATATCTGTTAATTATGGCTCCAATAACCTTATACTATATCTGTTAATTATGGCTCCAATAACTGTAAATCCTTGGAGTACTGTTACGTCATACTGTGAAAAATGACGTCATATCAACAGATAAGAACCCTGTCAAGTCGCCATGATGTAATTCAATATAGAAGAATATAGAAGACTTAAGGTAAGTACCTTATCAAGATATAAATGTAGTGTTAGATATATTACAAAACTTATATATTACACGTGCACTTTTTTGTTTATACACTAGAAAATAGAAATACACATCTACCGGAAATGGCGAGGACAGGTTTGTCGTGCTAGAATGAATGGCCAATTCATTACCGAAACAAACCTGCATGGAGTTTGGGACTAGCACCTGATGAGAGTTCCCTCACAAAATTACTGGCATACTAGCCTATATCTTTTGGTATTTTTGGCATATTTTAGAATAATAAATACGCTATAGCACAAACTCAAAATTTCTAAATTTTATTTGGCATAACTCCTTCCTGGTCGTTTTCATTATTACAATTTTCTTTTTTGTTCACAAATACGCACATATACAAATTCCTATAAACTATCATAATCAAACAATGTATAATACTGTATGTTGGTTTTTTAGAATTATTTGTTACCTACTTACCAGAATAATAGCATGCTTTTAGAAATATGTATAGTATTATTTGCTAATTAAAAAACAACTTATAAAATCTACATTATTGTTTAACGTTGAGTGACCAGAATCGCAGTATACATTGAAAAATTTAGAAAGTTTGTTAACACCCCCCTATTTTCAGTTTTGTCTATAACTTGTGTTAAATATTTATTGAACCCCCCTCCCCTTTTTTCGTTACTATTTAAATTGTATCAACTCTCATCTTTATTTTCCCTGTTTATTGAGTTGACATTATACTACATGTATGACCGGCCACCAAAAAATTGATTGCTTCAGTCTCCTCGGCTGGGTGACGTGGTGGTGTGTTTATTTATTTATAATTTATTTATTTTTTAAAAGATAAAAATAGATATACTAAGTATATCTATACGGTCATGCAGAGGCCTGCCCATCTCTACTTCACTAAGGAAGTGTTGAGGAGATGGAACAGTGATTTGAGGCTGGAAGCATAAGGTGAACAAATAAGAATAATAACAATTCTTATCACCAATGAACGATTTATCATAATAAGATTAATCAAATATATATAAATATACAAAATACAAAATGCAAATAACTCCCAAGGTGATTCACTGAATGTTACAGTAACTCAGACCTATGACTTACTCTTAGACGTCCTTTTTAATTTATTAATTTTTTTTTTTTTTTTTTTTTTTTTTTTTTTTTTTTTTTTTATCAAACCTATATATTAAAATAATTCATGGTTATTCTCAATTCCCTGTAATTTGTTTTATTTAAAACAATTTGCCTTATACTATATCTGTTAATTATGGCTCCAATAACCTTATACTATATCTGTTAATTATGGCTCCAATAACTGTAAATCCTTGGAGTACTGTTACGTCATACTGTGAAAAATGACGTCATATCAACAGATAAGAACCCTGTCAAGTCGCCATGATGTAATTCAATATAGAAGAATATAGAAGACTTAAGGTAAGTACCTTATCAAGATATAAATGTAGTGTTAGATATATTACAAAACTTATATATTACACGTGCACTTTTTTGTTTATACACTAGAAAATAGAAATACACATCTACCGGAAATGGCGAGGACAGGTTTGTCGTGCTAGAATGAATGGCCAATTCATTACCGAAACAAACCTGCATGGAGTTTGGGACTAGCACCTGATGAGAGTTCCCTCACAAAATTACTGGCATACTAGCCTATATCTTTTGGTATTTTTGGCATATTTTAGAATAATAAATACGCTATAGCACAAACTCAAAATTTCTAAATTTTATTTGGCATAACTCCTTCCTGGTCGTTTTCATTATTACAATTTTCTTTTTTGTTCACAAATACGCACATATACAAATTCCTATAAACTATCATAATCAAACAATGTATAATACTGTATGTTGGTTTTTTAGAATTATTTGTTACCTACTTACCAGAATAATAGCATGCTTTTAGAAATATGTATAGTATTATTTGCTAATTAAAAAACAACTTATAAAATCTACATTATTGTTTAACGTTGAGTGACCAGAATCGCAGTATACATTGAAAAATTTAGAAAGTTTGTTAACACCCCCCTATTTTCAGTTTTGTCTATAACTTGTGTTAAATATTTATTGAACCCCCCTCCCCTTTTTTCGTTACTATTTAAATTGTATCAACTCTCATCTTTATTTTCCCTGTTTATTGAGTTGACATTATACTACATGTATGACCGGCCACCAAAAAATTGATTGCTTCAGTCTCCTCGGCTGGGTGACGTGGTGGTGTGTTTATTTATTTATAATTTATTTATTTTTTAAAAGATAAAAATAGATATACTAAGTATATCTATACGGTCATGCAGAGGCCTGCCCATCTCTACTTCACTAAGGAAGTGTTGAGGAGATGGAACAGTGATTTGAGGCTGGAAGCATAAGGTGAACAAATAAGAATAATAACAATTCTTATCACCAATGAACGATTTATCATAATAAGATTAATCAAATATATATAAATATACAAAATACAAAATATAATGACGCCATCGTTTACGATGAAAACGGAAGTAAACATGCCCTACATTTCACTTTTGCGTGATGTAAAAATCGGGTCGGAAACGTATCTCGGAAGTCGCGTATTAAAAGACAGATACCTCAGTTTGCACACAAAAGGCAGGTATAATAGGTAGTCGAATATATAACAATCAAGTATGACACATGTTTTAATTTTAGTTGTTGTTATTGCCCTGTAAAACCAGTTAGATAGTTCTTGATGCCTTCTAGGTCAGAATCAGAGAATTACACATACTATTCATAAAATGATCTGAGTTCATTATGTAATTAGGAGTCAGTGTATCTCTTTTATTTACATGTTGGGGGAGTTTTAGTAAAACCCAATATATATTTAGTCTCATGTCAACAGGTGTGGGTCAGAGTGTACCCATTTATTTTGTTTGAATAAAGTGAACATGTAATTAGGAGTCTGAGTTACTCTGTTATTTACATGTTTGTGTGGGTCGGAGTTACCCATATATTTTTTGATTAATGTAACATGTAATTAGGAGTCAGAGTTACTCTGTTATTTACATGTTTGTGTGGGTCGGAGTTACCCATATATTTTTTGATTAATGTAACATGTAATTAGGAGTCAGAGTTACTCTGTTATTTACATGTTTGTGTGGGTCGGAGTTACCCATATATTTTTTGATTAATGTAACATGTAATTAGGAGTCAGAGTTACTCTGTTATTTACATGTTTGTGTGGGTCGGAGTTACCCATATAATTTTTGATTAATGTAACATGTAATTAGGAGTCTGAGTTACTCTGTTATTTACATGTTTAGTGTGGGTTAGAGTTACCCAGATATTTTGGGGTCAGATTTCTTTACATAATTTTATTTAGTTTAATTTGAATATGTAATAGGAGTCAAAGTTACTCTGTTATTTACATAGTTTTGGTTATAGGAGTTATTCAATACAGGGATTTTGTGGGGAGTTAAACTATAGACATTTGGTAAATGATTTTCATCATGTAATAGAGTACAGCTGTTAGCTAGGTACTCAGATGTCGTCAATTAGACTCTCTGTAATTGTGCCATAATGTGTCTAACCTGTTTTGGATAACTATTTTGTCTTTGCTTAGGAATCAGTATTCCCCACTCTATTTAAAAAATTGCAAGTTCACAATCTCACAGCTGGCATTCATATACTTGAAATATGTATTGCCATTATCATTGTGAGATGAAACTAAATCTGTAGAGTTTTGTTTTTTAATAATATTCTCTTCTTCAGAAGCAATGCCACCAAAGAAAAGAAGCAAAAAAGGGGAACTCGCAGCAGATGAGCAGTCCAGTTCCTCCAGCACAGGGAGAAAGCGAAAGCGAGTGACTCCTACTCAACAGACAGAGACTGTGATGCAGAGTGCTCTGCCAACCATTGACTACACACTACTGGCAAAACACATATTAACTGAACAACAGAAATTAACATCCAGTGAGGGGAATGGACTTGCTGAGGCAACCGCGAGCCAACATGGGGAAGCATCCCCATCAGTTATCCAAAACAAGGAGCCACAGTCCAGCAGTGAGCTAGTTAACCCTGCAGCAACTACGAGTGTTACAGATGGTACCCCACAAGCTAGTGCCATGGTCCCAGCCTCTGCACTTGGTGCACTTCTGGACAATGTTTTTACAGGTGAGCCAGCAGGCAGTAATTCTGACACTAATCCACAAATTCAATTAACAGATTGCGTGCCTCTTGGGGCTACAGTTTCCTCCAAATTAAAACTTAAAATTTGGAATAATGAATTTGTTGACCTGAAACTTCTTTTACCCAACTCAAACGAAGAGCCCCTTTCAATTATGGTAAAAGCTGGTAAATTTGAACTGCAGCAAACATCATCAAATAAAAATCCAATAACAATCCATCAATGGACAGATGCATTTTTGATATTTAGTACCATATATCTACAGAAATTCCCTCAGGAGGCAAGCAATCTGTTGAAATATATGTTTACTATTCGTGACATAAGCAAGCTCCATGGTGAGCAAGCATGGAGGACTTATGATGAGTCTTTTAGGAAAATTAGGGAGACATCCCTCTTACCATGGGAAAGAGTAGTAACAGAGTTACGGTTAAAGGCAGCCTCTGTGGGAATTAGGTCTCCAAACAAATTGCAAGGGAGTAGTGGCAAACGACAGCCTTTTCGTCCCAAATACTGCTTCGCGTACAACAAAGGGCAAAAGTGTAACTCCCACCCTTGTAGATTTTCCCATACCTGCCAAGACTGTCATGGTCCCCACCCCCGAGTTCAATGTACAGGCATACGGTCCAACTCATCCTCCTCAATTAGAAATGGCAGTAGCCCTTCCAACTCCAGTAAACCCAGTACAACTCAAAAGTGAGTTAGAAGGTTATGAAAAAGAAAAACTGAATTTTCTAGTTTCAGGGTTCACATTTGGTTTCCGTTTAGGGTGTGTCAAGACCCCTTCCATTCACCCTCCTCATAATCACAAATCAACCTATGAACACCCAGATATTGTAGATGACTATATTAATGCAGGTTTAAGTAGGCAAAGAATTTCAGGCCCATTTACACATCCACCCCTACCACTTTTTAAAACTTCTCCATTGGGGGTTGTCCCTAAATCTGAACCAAATAAATACAGAATTATTCATGATCTTTCTTTTCCAGCCCAGGATTCAGTCAATTCAAATATTCCTAAAGAATGTTCTGAAGTTCATTATGATTCAGTTGACACTGTTGTAGCACTGGTACGTCAGTTTGGGAAAGGTTCTCTTATGGCAAAATCAGATATTAAAGATGCCTTTCGAATTATACCAGTACATCCGTCTGATTATCATCTTTTGGGTTTTACATGGCAAGGTCAATTTTATTATGAGCGTTGTCTGCCAATGGGGGCAAGCAGTTCTTGTCAATTATTTGAACAGTTAAGTACAGCTCTTCAATGGGTAATGTTAAACAAACTGAAGGCTTCAGGCATGTCTCATATTTTGGATGATTTCTTTTTCATTGGTCCTCCAAACTCACAGAAATGCAAACATGATTTGAACAACTTTTTGTCGTTATGTGGAAGAATTAACATTCCAATGAATATGGAAAAAACCTTCGGGCCAGTGACATGCATTACTATTTATGGTATTGAGGTAGATTCCGTTGATATGGTGAGCCGCCTTCCACTTGACAAACTCGAGAAATGTAGAAATTTAGTGCGTCAGTTTATAAACAGGAAGAAGGTTGCATTACGGGAACTTCAGTCATTAATTGGAGTGTTAAACTTTGCATGTTTGGTAGTGGTTCCTGGTAGGGCTTTTTTACGCCGGTTAATTGATTTGACAATAGGGATTGTGAAACCTCATTACCTTATCCGTTTTAATAAGGAGGTAAGAGCAGATTTGGCAATGTGGCTGCACTTCCTAGAAAATTTTAATGGAAAATCAGTTCTTTTTCCAGAGGAATGGGAATCATCAGATATCACCCGATTATTTACAGATGCTTCTGGTTTATTAGGGTTTGCTGCTGTGTTTGGATGTAAATGGTTTGCAGCTGAATGGACAGAGTCTCTTTTTCCCATGCAAATTGCAGTGAAGGAGTTGTTTCCAATTGTATTAGCTCTAGAAATTTGGGGGTCAGAAATGGCAAATAGAAAAATTCTTTTTATGTCAGACAATATGGCTGTGGTGGAGGTGATAAATAAACAGTCGAGTAAAGAAAAAAATCTTATGCATCTACTTCGCCGTTTGGTATTGGTTTGTCTATCAAATAATATCTTCTTTAAAGCTAAGCATATTCCAGGCAAATACAATGTGGTAGCTGACAGTTTGTCACGTTTGCAATTTCAGAAAGCACGGCAGGTAGCACCATACTTAGAACAACAGGCAACTGTCATTCCGGCACACCTATTACAGATTTGACCTCTTCAACTCGTTCAGTCCTTGTGGCAGCTTTATCACCCCCTGCACGATATGCTTATAGACATTCGTGGCAACTTTTCCTCAATTACAGAAAAGATCCAGTATCTCTACCATTGCCTATTACAGACATATGTAACTTCATTGGTTTTCTTTTTGAGAAACAATACAGTTCTAGCAGCATTGCCTCACATATATCGGCATTAGGTTATGTTCACAAAATTCTCAATTTGCCAGATCCAACTCAAACTTTTATTGTGCGCAAACTACTGAAAGGTTGTCACAAGCTACTACCCACTCGGGATGCTAGATTGCCAATAACAAAAAATATCATGCACAAAATTTTGGCTGCACTAGTCTTTACTGTTCCACAAGCTTTAAATCAGGTTCTTTTGCAAGCCCTTTTCCTTTTATGTTTTAATGCATTTCTGCGTTTAGGGGAAGTTATCTCAAAAACTCTAGCAGATAAGGACAAAGTTCTGCAAATACAAGACATTATTTTCAGTGGAGAAAAATGCAGTCCTTCAGCAGTTCAAATTGTTCTTAGGCACCATAAATCTCAACAGAAAAATGAGCCCATCATAATATCTATTCAAGCCAACCCTAGTTCACAATTTTGTCCAGTGCATAATCTTTATAAGTATAAATCATTATTTCCACATGTGTCAGGCCCCTTCTTCCAGTTTGTCAATGGTACTCCAGTCACATATTCTTATGTCAGTAGTGAACTTTCAAAAACAATAGCATTTGCAGGTCTGGATCCCAAACGTTATAAGGGGCACAGTTTTCGTATAGGTGCAGCAACGCATGCTGCACAGTTAGGGTATTCTGAGACTTTCATTCAACATTTAGGCAGATGGAACTCGAATGTTTTGCACAGATATATTAGAATTAAATCGTTTCAGTTGTAATAAAATATAGGATTCCCTCCTCCCTCCCCCCCCCCTTTTTTTTTTTTTTTTTTTTTTTTTTTTTTTTTTTTTCTATATCAGTCCATCCCAGGGCAGGTCAGTGTCTAACTGCTGCTACTACTGGTTACGTGTAAGTTTGCAGGTCAGTGTTTAACTGCTGCTATTAAGTTTGTTGCAGGACAGTGTTTAACTGCTGCTATTAAGTTTGTTGCAGGCCAGTGTTTAACTGCTGCTATTAAGTTAGGTTGCAGGTCAGTGTGTAAATGCTGCTTAAATTTTATTTAGAGATGTTACAAGTATTAAGGAGGGATGTCTCTCTCTTTTGATCTCAGTACCTGTCTTATAAGGTGTATATATGTAGATGTAGTTACATTTCCACAGTACAGGTCAGTGTTTAACTGCTGTATTGTTAAGTTGCTTTAATTATTTGTCTTTGTGAAATGATTATTTTCATTATTTGTATATGTAAGCTGTTAGGTGCATGTTGACAATCATTTTCTTTTCGAATTAATATAACCACTGCCTGCTGGTTACATCCACCGGATGACTTTCATGTTTATATGTATTTCATATGCACAATCTTTTTGTGTAAAGCAATTCTTGCAGAAACAGATGCCAGGTCAGTGTTTAACTGCTGGTATAGCTTAATGTGCATTTTCATCATGTATAAACCAGTGAAATATTGTTTACATTTGCATTTTTGTGCGCAACCTCACCTTGAATGGCACAATGTGATTGCCAATTATGTTTGGCAATCACATTTGGTGGCATATTTATTTTTGATGTGCCATCTTTTTGCTGTATACTTACTGTTTTTTATATTTTTTGCAAATATTGTTTATCTGTAAATTTAGGGGATCAGCATATTGACATGTATTGTGTGAATACCTTTTGGTCTGATCCCCTATCATGTTTATGTATATATATTTCTTATTTTCGTCATTTTTAATAAATGACATATTTCATCTCAACATGGTGTTGATTTCATTGATTATAACTCAGCAAAAACAGAGCTGCGGTGAGTTTGTGCAGCATGAGGAAACATAAAACAACAATTATGTAAATAATTTCATTTATGTGTTGAATGCTGTTTAGTTTTCTTTTGTTTAAATGTAAGTAAGTAAATATTGTATTTTGTATTGTTTTAAATCTCAATATTTTGATTTTTCTTCATTGGCTTGAATTCTCCCATGCCTTGCAGGTGTCAGGTGCACGTTATGCAATTTTCCCCATTTCTTCAGTTTCGGCTACTTGTTACACAACTCCAAAATTTTCCATGGTCAAACCTTACCCCTATGTAAGCTAATAGCCAATCAGAAATGACCATCATGGTCACGTGTTTTGATGCTGTCGGTAGCTGACCAGTCAGCGTTGGGTCATTCTCGCCTCATCTATGCTACTGATAACAACAAAAAATTTGGCACACCCACCACCACCCCAGTCTTTCCTACCTTATTTTGCATTTATATATTTTAATTTTACTGGCATATTTATTTTTGATGTGCCATCTTTTTGCTGTATACTTACTGTTTTTTATATTTTTTGCAAATATTGTTTATCTGTAAATTTAGGGGATCAGCATATTGACATGTATTGTGTGAATACCTTTTGGTCTGATCCCCTATCATGTTTATGTATATATATTTCTTATTTTCGTCATTTTTAATAAATGACATATTTCATCTCAACATGGTGTTGATTTCATTGATTATAACTCAGCAAAAACAGAGCTGCGGTGAGTTTGTGCAGCATGAGGAAACATAAAAATAATTCTATGAATTAGAAAAAAATGACTAATTGTTTTTCTTTTAATATCGAAAAGGAATGGGAAATAGGAAAAGTCGTTGTGCACGATTAAATTTACACATCCGCTTCTTTGCGCGGCCGATTTACCTATTTCATTCATTAACCAGAAAATTCTCAATGATCTTGTACAGCAGACGCATAGGACAAATACAACCTCATAGTTCAAATCTTAAAATTTTGGCTCCAACAGAAAAAAAATACAACAAAAAATGAAATCTTTTAAATTTTAAACGCACATAGTATGCCCTTTCTATGAGTGCAATGCATATGGACGTATGATTACGCATCTTAGATTTCGCTGTTCAAGGATTATTTTTTCTAATTTAAAAAAAAGTGTGTTGCCCTTATTCAGTTTAGGAATATTTTGCTTGAACTAATATTTACAAACCAATCTACAAATCAGATCGAGTGTATTGGGGTCAAAACAATGAAAAAGTGTCCAATTTAAATGAACTGACTTGAGTCCTTCTTGTCTATTCATGTGTAACAATGACACAAATTCGAGGATTAAGACAAGTTCTTTTAATTCACATTAAACATGTTCTTTGTTAACCACAACATAGAAATCTATAGTAACCATAATTTTTAAATCCTGACACAGAATTACTTTGAGATATCTTCAATCAGGTCAAGAGTTTTCTTCTTATATTTACATTTATGACCGACTTATTACGAACACGTGACTCAACTATCAACTTTGACAACCATTTTCCGTTGTTTGTTTTTATTTTTGTTTCTGTAAGCACTTAAAATATAGATATTTTAATCAACGTATAGGGAAACATTAAATGCTTAGAAGGTCTTTTAAATAAACATTTATCTTACTTTTGGTTCTAACCGCCATACGTACAGTTAGCCTGATGACACACAGATAATTCTATCGAAAGCGAAAGTACAAAATAATATCATCGTTTATTATAATCAGGCGAGGATCCAGGAATTGAAGTTAGGGGGTTCAAAAAGTGGACAGGGGGGTCCAGGGCGAAGCTCTGGTGGGGGCCCATTGGGGGAAGGCCCCGGAAGCTCCTGGATTCTAGAGATTTTGTAGGGTAAAAATGAGGTCTGCCGAGTAGATATTTTTACATTTTCTCGACGACACTATGATTTTCCTAACTTTTACAATTTAAAGGGGGAGGGGGGGGGGGGCGCTGGGTGCGCCCCCTAAATCTGCCACTGATAATATGCAAAGGAAGTAGCATTCGCAGTAGCATCCAGGAATTGAAGTTAGTGGGTTCAAAAAGTGGACAGGGGGTCCAGGGCGAAGCTCTGGTGGGGGCCCATTGGGCGAAGGCCCCGTAAGCTCCTGCATTCTAGAGATTTTGTAGGGTAAAAATGAGGTCTGCCGAGTAGATATTTTTACATTTTCTCGACGAAACTATGATTTTCCTAACTTTTACAATTTAAAGGGGAGGGGGGGGGGGCGCTGGGGCCGCCCCCTAAATCTGCCACTGATAATATGCAAAGGAAGTAGCATTCGCATTTATAAGTGTCTTTCTTTCGTAGATAATCAACTTACCTGACTTTGTTTTAAAAAATAATGCGTAATTACGAAAATTAATCAATAAACCATGACATTTTTGAAAAAGTGACCTATTTAAACACATGTTATCATGTTTTTGTACTTCTGTTACATTAAGAGATTACGCATTTAAATTTATCTACACGTAACACTTCTTACGAATCTCAAACGGATTCCAAAACAAGTTGATTTTTTATTTAAAAGAACCTCTGGAAGTCGGAATAGATATACGGGGTAAATAAATCTACTAATATGGTTGTAGAGGATAGCATTGTAACGGGGCACATCTATTTTCTATGTAATTTACTACTGAAAGGGAACATAACTCTTATCATTTTAGTAAATTTCGGGTGATATATATACAGTAAAACACGCTTATTTTGCATTCAAGCTTACAGCGAAGTGATGTTTTAATCCCCGTCGTTATAAAACATATTGAAATCTTAAGGATTATAACGAATTGTTTATAAAGAATCAAAATTGCAGTCCCTGGCATTTCGCTATAAGCGTGTTTTACTGTAATTACATTTTTCTACATTGAAAAAAAGGGGATATCAATATTACCTAATTTTGTAGAATCACATATATAGATGAAGTGAAAATAATCCATATCCATAAAAAAAGATGACTGGCATATTTATGTCCATTTCAGAGTGAAAATTGCTCCTGTCCTCTAATGATAAAATTTAGGTTGATGTATCCAATGCGTAAAGTGTTGTGGAAATTTATTTTTTTTTTCTTCGAAGCCTTAAGTTGTATTCAGTGTTCATCATGTTAAAATCTAACATTCCCAAAATGACAAAATGTAGTCAGTAAACATAATTTCAAAATGTCCAATTCAAATTGATACAGTGTTATCTTTTTGAATAAATTATGTGTTTAATGAGATCAAACTTTTCAAACAAGATAAAACTATTGCGAAATAAAGGCATTTTTTCTGCTCTTAGTAAAACATCAATTGGATTTATGTATCATGGAAAATTAGAAAAGATAAATAACTCCTCGAAAAAAATCACATATCTGAGGCTGAATTTTGTTTGATTGACTAGACAAGAGTATAATTCAATCCTAATATCCGTATATATTTTTTTTCTTAAAAATTATAAAAGAGAAGTTCTTAGTTTGTTTAAATGTTTTATATAAACCGTCATACTAATTATTATATCAGCCCCTTTCATTACGGGCTACATCGCTAAAAACGCTGGGCAAAATAAGTTTTTAATTTTGCAATTAACAAGGTGCTTGTTTATCTTTGCAGGAGATAACAAGTCCTAGAGCCAATCATAACAATTGTTTATATGAGTAAAATCATGATGTTTTTGTGATCATCGAACTATTCATCACATTCGTATAAGATTGAAATGCTGTTATGGTAATAAGTTGTTTGTGGAGTACATCAATATAGAAGGGTTGTATACTTGTGAGCAATATCACATACATGTACATGCATTGCCTTAAATACATGTAATTAATTTACGCAAATATGTTTATATTTCCCTCGACTGTTCAAAGACCAGAACATGCATCGGTAAAGTACTAGTATTCGTACATAGTAGGTTATCCCTGTGTGTGTATACTTAATTGTAAAAAATAAAAAAAAAATTCCCCTCAAGGGATGCTCAATTTTCACCTTTATAAAATGTGAAGAAAACGAACAGAGTATGCTTAAAAAGTCCAATTGAACAAAAGAAATTGTAAGCGGAGCAAACACAG